AGGGGTATGTGGCTTTGGAGGTGATGGAAGTAGGGGACATCAGAGTCCTCCATGGCGTCGAGAAAATTGTAAGTTGACGGAGATTGTGGTGGTGCATAGGGAAAACTGGACTCATCGAAGGTAACATGTCGGGAGACGAAAATTTTCTGTGTGGTCAAGTCCAGGCACCGATAGCCACGTTGAGACTCAGGATAGCCAAGAAAAATGCAACGCGCAGAACGTGGGGCAAGTTTGTGGGGTGCAGTGGCGGATAGATTTGTGGGGTAACAAAGGCAGCCAAAAACGCGGAGGTGGTTGTATGAAGGAGGGGTGGTATATAAGGCTTCATGAGGTGTGCGTTTTTGGAGGGTGGTGGTGGGGAGAAGGTTGAATAGGTGAGTGGCCATATGGAGGGCTTCAACCCAAAACTGAGGTGGGAGGTTTGCTTGGAAGAGTAGGGTATGGACAGTGTTGTTTAAGGTACGTATGGTGCGTTCTGCGCGCCCATTTTGTTGGCTAGTGTAGGGGCATGAAAAACGGAAAAGGATACCCAAGGACTCAAAGAAGGTGGCTAGGGGGTTATTTCTGTATTCTGTCCCATTGTCACATTGTACTGCTTTGATAGTGGTGTGAAATTGATTTTTGACCATGGCATGAAATTTTATTAGATGAGAGTAGGCGTCTGATTTGTGACGTAAAGGAAAAATCCATAAATAGTGCGAAAAATCATCTAGTAAAAGCATATAGAATTTAAAACCAGTAACACTAGGAACAGGAGATTGCCATAAGTCTGTATGCATTAATTGAAAAGGATAAAGAGATACACGACTCGAGGACTGAAATGGAAGGCGAACATGTTTGCCTAACTGACATGCATGACATAAATGATCTAATTTGGATTTATTAAAACTATCTAATGAAGAGGAGACGCCATGGAGAACTGCAGGGCTTGGGTGGCCAAGACGGCGGTGCCAAGTGGGCAGGTCGACTTTGGCAAGGTGAATGTGCGCTGGAGGGTGGTCTTGAGAGAGTGGGTAGAGGTGCCCGTCACTACTGGATCGATGAATCACGGCTCCCGTCCATTTGTCCTTCACAGCAAAACCGGATGAGTCAAATTCAACAGAACAGTTATTATCACGAGTAAATTGACGGACAGAAATAAGGTTATGGATGATGTGTGGGGAGACAAGGACATTTTTCAAGGAAAGGGGAGGGTTTGTGTTAAGGAGACCGTTACCAGAGGCCGTAGTGCACACTTTGGATCCATTACCGACAATAATATGAGAGGGTGAATAAATGTTTGAAGAAAATACATGAGATAAAGTACCTGGGTCAGCGGTGATGTGGTGGGAGGCTCCAGTATCCATGAACCAGGTAGGGTGAGAGTTCAGGCTTAGGTTTTCAAGGGTGTGGGCAAGTGCGGTGGGTGAGTTGGGCGTGGATTGAGGGTACGGGTAGGGTTGGGTTGGGGCTGTGGGTTGCGGGTAGGGGTTGGGATTGTGAGTAGGGGGATGCGAATATGGGGCT